GTCCGCCCTCAAGCTCTCTCGGAAATATAGCGAAAGCTTTGCTGCCTATATTACATTATTCATACTTAATTCTTAATTCTTAAATACTACTTTATTAAGCTTCATCACTGGGGTTAATCTGCATACAGTGTTTCTACAATAGATCTAGCTATAGGCTATTTATCACTTATTTACTGAGACCGAGGGAAACAGTGTGTTTTGTGGACCCGAGACCGTCGATGTCTCCCGAGGCGAAGCCGAGGGAAACATCGACGGTCGAGGGTCCACAAAACACACTGCTTTCCCGAGGTCTCAGTAAATAAGTGTTTTATTATATATCAATAGTCAAAGAAACAACAAATTAAAGAACAAATGAACGTAAATACATGAAATATTTTATTGTTAAAACGTTATATTAAACACTGGCTACACTGCAGTTACTTAAAGCGAAAGTTTTAATTACGTACTAGGCATCTTCACGTGATGGCGAACGTGATTTTTTTTGTTATTCGCCGGTCGATAACGTATTAGCTATCTCCCTCTCGCGCTGTTGCGAGGGAGACAGCCTAATTTCGTCACTCTCACGTGATATGCTCTCAACCAATAAAACACTAGAAAAATGCGACTTTGACTATTGATATATAATAATTAACAGTTATTCCACCAACTCGAGTCGAATATCATATCTTATTTTTCACCCTGCTCGGTTTCCTTTGTTCTTATCGGGGAATATATTCAATATTCCCATCTAATCAATTTCCGTTTAATAATCCCCTCTAATATTCACCTGCAATTAATAATCCCCTCTAATATTCACCTGCGATGTCTTTGCAGCACAAAAAATGAGAAGAAACAACATAACGAAGGCAATATGGCATTAAGAATTATTTCTATTCTGACTCATTAACGCGACCTCGCATTGTGAAAAATAAGTACGTTATTTTGAGGCACCTCGGGGATATGTGTTTATTCACCTCGGCGCTGCGCGCCTCGGTGAATAAATCACATATCCCCTCGTTGCCTCAAAATAACCTATACATATTCAACGAGAGTGAGTGGAATAACTGTTTTATAATATACACAAGGTCTGAATTCACAGACTTTGCTTTTCGGATATTTTCAATATTTTTCCATTTTGTTTGTGTTTTTATCTTTCGTCTTTCGGCCGATTATTTTTTCTAAAATATATATTTTTAACCATTTTACATTTTAAAAATTCATTTGCTAACCTGTAAACAATGTGTGGGAGTTTTTTCGTTGTGTTTTTAATCCTGTAAAGGCTATAAAAAGCGAACAACTTGCAGTTTTCTCATTCGCAAACTTTGAAAATTCAGTTTCAGCCGCCATTTTGTTTTTCGCTACTAGCAGGATATGAGCTAATATTCTGCTAGTAGAGAACCAATCAGATTACAGAATACCTCATATACAGACCATGTGTATATAATAAATACTATTACTATATTGAAAAACCTCAATTATGTTGCAATAACCGTCAGTTAAATATATGCACTACCTCAGATTTTATCGCAGCTGAAATTGTTGTTCCTCGGTATTTAATTAGTTTTACTCATGCAAATAGTACTAAAAACTATTTTTCAAAGGTTAAAAACTTCCTGGTTAACAATGCTTGGCCTAACTGAATTGTTATTCGTTTAATTGCATGCATATAGTTAATTTAGGCACAGACCTACTTTTAAATTCATATATACCGGTATGTTAGAGTTATAAACCGAGTAGGGGGTTTATAACCGATATATTGCCCCCGAGGACGCGTAGCGTCCGAGGGCAATATATCAGCTATAAACCGACTTTCGAGGTTTATAACTAACTTATATCACATTTGTGGAGGTTTTCTAGCATATTTTGTCATTTTCAAAAATTTTTAATGAAAAATTCTCGCGTTTTGTCTACAAGTTTAATCTAATCATTTATTCAAGGTATATAATAAGCTAGTTATAAACCTCGGACGACGAAAGAAAACCGACACAAATGTGATATAAGTAAGAGTTAATTACCGAGAACTAGGTTTCTTAGCGAGATACAACCCGAGGGGCGTGTCGCAAAGAAAGCATCCCGAGGGCCGTAGGCCTGAGGGATGCTTTCTGAGGGCAACGCTCCCGAGGGATGTATCTCGCTAAGAAACCGACGTTCGAGGTAATTAACTGACTTAGTTCAAATTTGTAAAGATTCAAAAACAATTAAATCTACTTTTTTGTTGAAAATACTTGCATTGAATTAAGAGAATAACGGTTGTTACCATGGGGTCCATATGAAAATGAGATTGAAACGTGAACTACCTATGTAGCGACGAAGAAAATGCTTCCAGGCAAACGGAATCAGACGAAAATTAGGCTTATGGAAAGTAGTATTAAGACGTATTGAGCGTATACCGAATATACTGTAGGCACAAGACCCAACACCATCTGGGCAGTTCGATCGTATTTGGAAAGAGTGGGCCGAAGGTAGAAGCGCTATAACGAACAATATTATGGGTTTGTCGAAGCAAAGATTCTAAATTTGTTTTCAATAGGGTTTTATTTGGGTAAGAATCTAAAAGCAAGTGAAGGGAATTTGATATCTTTATAGGGAAAAGGGGGGTTGATGAATATAATTCAATTGAATTGATGATTAAATATTCACGGGGTTCTATCTAAGTATATAAAACCTGATTTATGCGGGTTTTATATATATATAACCCGCAAAAATCCGGGTTTTATATAGATAAAACCCGGTGTATATTTAATCATCAATCCAATTCAATTCAATTCTATTTATCAACTCCGCTTTTCCCTGGGGAGATATCAAATCCCTCCCCTTGCTTTCAGATTCTTACCCAAATAAAACCCTATTGAGAACAATAGAAATCCACACAAATTTGAACTAAGAACATTAGGTTACCTCAAACAACAAGATTAACCAGAAAATGTTTTAACCAGGGTGTTTTATACCGTATATTTATATGTATATCTTTCATGCATCGCGCCATTGTGGTCAGAGTTAAAGCAGAAATAATTGTTCTTTAATATTCCTACACTATAAAAAAAATCCAGGTTAAAAAAATCCTGGTTAACTTTTAATTAACATTATTTGGCCAGTTTGAGGGTAACATCAAGTTCTTCGTTAATTCATTGCGACTCTCGTCCTTGAATTGATTATAGTCCTGACTAATTCAACCACGATTCTTAATTAACTTAATCACCCTATTTTATTTTAACCACACTTTATTTTAGGATGGATGGTAACCACGCATTCCGCATGGGTTAATAATCCACTTAGCAAAGCATGGTTAATTGAACTATATAGAATGTTTACAATAACCAGAAAACTTGGTTTTGTAAAAAATTAAGCAGGGCTGTGGTTAAATTAACCAGGGAATTGCACCTTAAGGTGGCTCCATACACTTTCATCATCGGGGGACTGGTACCTAATCTTGAGTTTCGCGCGAAAATATTACAAATATATGCAAAAATAAATACAACTTTTTCAGTCTAAAATTCGAACCACAAGTCATGGTTATTTTGATGTTTCGAGTCTTTTTTGTTCTCATTTGTTCTCAAAGAACAAACTTCGTCCTGATTTAGCCCTGAACATTGAATAGCTAGTCTTTTTAGAAGACATTTTAAGGTAAAAAAATGCAATGTTTAACTTCAAACTCTTGTGAAAACCGGCGATCGGCCCGACCGGCGAAACGTTTTTTACTCCAATATTTGACGTTTTATAAGTTCATATCCAGAGTTTTTTGTACTTACAACTGGTAAATGTATTCAAAGTGTCACTAACAGCAAAGGAATTCAGTCAAACAGCATCATACGCTGGCTCAAACTGTTTTAAATTGTCAACAACAACATGAAAACACACAAGTTACGACTGTAAACGAATATAAAACTATGTAGAGAAGCCAAAAAGTTCATACATGTCACACATATCTTATACCAAACGACACAATCACCTGTTTTCTTGGCGTTATCCCGAGTTAGCATGCAAAACTAAAGATATTTGCATTTCTAAGCAAGAAAACACAGCATATATTTGATATTTCGACGAGACTAAAAACCTTTTTGTGCGTGTTTTTCTGGAGATGCGCCTGCGAAAACATGTATGCGCATGTCAATTCATTGATCTTGCAGAGCTCGAAAAACTTTCGGCCGAGCGAGTGAGATACTACAATAAAACGGTGTAATTCAAAATTTTGCACGGCGACATGTGATGAAATTTTGCACAACGATAACTTCTTTTAAAACAAATAGAATATCAAAATTTTAAAAAAATCTGTAGATTGGAAAACTTTAAATCCGCAATTTTTTATTCTGGCTATTCTAATCTACAGAATTTTTTTATTTTCAGGGATAAGATTCCTTATTATAAGTGAAAGCTATACAGCAGTTAAAAATTGGGGGTCACCGGCAATATTCGGAAAATAAAGAATAAAAACCTGCTTAAAATAGCAAAAAATACCATATTTGGCGAGGCTACTGTTACTATGGAAACAATATTATGTTCAAGAATATTGCAAATTTTTTCTACCAAATACTTAATTTATACTTGGGAATGCTTAAAATTAATAGATGGAGTAATACAATTTATAAATTGAAATTTTTACGCAATAAGGTATTTATACTACGGAACTGTATGGAGCCACCTTAATTAAACAGTAATTTCCCCTGAACAGTGTTGATTTTTGGTTAACCAGGAAATGAATTGAGCACGTTCACACCGGCGATTTGAGGTGCAATTTTCTTCTTTTCATGGATGTGAACGAGTATACAGTACATGACTTATAAATGTTCTTACCATACTGTATGTGCTCCTTGAACATCCTTAACTTACCGACTCGTTCCCATCGATCCCAACACGAAGATCGCACCTTAAATTGCCACCACAATCGCCCATATAAACGAGCTTCAAATACAAATGAAAATGTAATTTTTTTATAATATCGTTGTTTAGTTACTGGAAATGCTAACTTCCGAATGCAACAAACATCATTCACTTTGCTCTGATTTGCTCAACCTTATACCGCAATGCCCATAATCGAAGATTTGCAAAATAATGCAAAAGGGTTTACATCTCGCTTTCTTTGGTACTTTCCCAAGCCAATATTTTGTAAATTGAAAGCAACAGTTCTTCATGATGACGAAAACGATGAGGTTGAAAAATTTGAGGAACATCTAGGTGAGTCATATGACAGAACACTAAAGAAAATTAATACCAAATACACACTCATATAACCTCATCATTATTCTTTTTCCTGCTGTTTTATTTTCTGGCAACGTTAATTATATGTCGAAGGCGAAGCGTCATACACCATAGAGCAAGATGATAAGATTACAAACGTTATTGTCAATCGGAAAAAAATCATACTTTCAGAGGAAGCAGCAACCGAATTTGAAAACATTCACGATGACTGGGAGGTAACATGTGAAAAATATCCATACGATCCTTTGATAGGAGGTTGGGTAACATGTATTTTTACATTTATATACGTACACAGATTAATTCTTACCAGTTGCATCCCGTTCGTTCATTTACATAATACTGTGCTGAGTGGTTATATTACTACCTTAAAAAATAAGCAGAAACTCGACGTTTCGAGCGAAGGCCGTTCGTCAAGAGTTACTAACTTCTTGATGAAAGGCCTTCGCTCGAAACGTCGAGTTTCTGCTTATTTTTTAAGGTAGTAATATAACCACTCAGCACAGCATTTTCACATTGGTACTACCAACACTGGTACAGACAGATTTAGTATACATTTAAATGATTTAATGGTAACAGTAAGGCCAAATAGAATCTTGACGGTGACACTTTCACAATCCAACAACTGCAACTATACGATTTTAGTAAAGCGTTCGACCGCATCGACCATAATATCCTAGTCCCAAAGTTGCTGGCCCTTGGCGTCAGATTGTCGCTTATTCCATGGATATGCAGCTTTCTCTCAAATCGCCGTCAATCGGTAAAGATCGACAATTTCCAATCTGATTGGGGAATCAATAACGCAGGTGTCCCTCAAGGAACTAAATTGGGCCCTATTTTGTTCATAATTATGATCAACGATCTTGAACTGGCATCCTCTAGCACTGACCATTGGAGATACGTGGATGACGTAACAATATCGGAGTCCTTAAAGAAAAATGAAGTTTCAGTCCTACAATCTGATCTTAACACAATTGAAAGATGGACTGTTAATAACAACATGAAATTGAACGGAAAGAAATGCAAAGAAATGATAGTGAGTTTCGTCCGTAGCGAGAATGACATCCCCCGACTCCTCATTGATGGTTTACCTCTAGACTTAGTTCCTTCTTTCAAAATTTTGGGCTTAACCATGAACAATAAATTGAAATGGCAAGATAACACTGAAGCGTTAGTTAAAAAAGCCTCAAAACGCTTATACATTATTCGTGTCCTACAGCGCTGTGGTCTTCCCCCCAATGACCTCTTATTAGTCTACTTTTCTATGGTGCGCTCTATCTTAGAATATGCCTGTCCTGTCTGGCACACCATGTTACCAAAGTGTTTGGGGGATAAAATTGAAAAACTTCAAAAAAGAGCTTTCCGTATTATTTATCCGACAACAGATTACGAAGATGCTCTCAACATCGCTAAATACAAGCGTCTTGACGACAGACGTCAAGAGCTATGTGCTAAAACTTTCAAAAAGATCTTAAAACCCGATGCTCACCTCAACCACCTCTTACCCCCACTCCGTGAAGAATCGCATGAACTGGGCTTAAGAAACAATTCTAACTTTACATTAACTAAATGCAGAACGGAACGTTTTAAAACTAGTTTTATACCAGCAATGACTGCTAATTTTAATAGTAAATAATTTGTAGTATTTTAACAACTGTACATATACGATATATCTATATTTATATTATTTGATATTCATCCTTTATTATGTTTCTGTAAGCATATTGCAATTCACCTTCGGGTGCCAAAATGTGTTTCTTAATAAACCTTTAATACTAATAATACTAATAATACTAATAATACTAATAATACTAATAATACTAATAATACTAATAATACTAATAATACTAATAATACTAATAATACTAATAATACTAATAATACTAATAATACTAATAATAATACTAATACTTAGGCCAATATATTTTAGGTCTGTATTCGAGAGGAAAATCTCAAGTGCTTCGTCTGGCAATCCCAATGCAATTATTATTGGATTTCTTTGCGATGTTTGAGAACCACGGCGCATTACACAATGACGAACAAATGGAATATGGCCTGCCATGACAAGATCAATCTACTTCATCGACTTCAGTTACAAAAGAACCCAAATGCCATGATAACCAAAATGCGTCAGGAAACATCGACCAACCGGAGAACCCGACCTCTATTGTATCTGACTATAATAAACAGCCTGCAGAGACTAGTTCTCAAGAAAACGTAACGAATGCCGAAAATGATGAGCAAGATTGCATCCCTACACCACCATCCTCTATTCCGTCTGATGATGAGACCCTATCCCTACACCATCATTAATTGGTCCACAAGCAGTCAAGGTTGCTGCATCAATTGTAAAGTGCTCTTTCGACCAACTTTGTGAGTTCATTTAGTA